TTTCCCTGCCCACCCAACTGGCCAGGAGTCCCCATCACTGGCAGCCAGAGTGGCGCCCACAGGTCTGTGTCCCCACAGCCCCTCCAAGTGGTTTTCTGTGCATGCCCCTTTTCTCCAGAACAGATCTCACATCGGCGCACCTGCTGTTTGTAACCTGCTCTCAGCGCCATCTGCCCAGTTCACCCGGTCTGCACGGCCACCTAGGAGGGACCAAAACACCCACAACCTATGTCCCAGACAGCCTCAGGCCTTGCTGGCTCCCTCCACTCAGGGACTCATGCCCTCCTGGTAAATGGTGGGCAGGGGTCTGGCCCAGTTCACAAACAGTGGATGTTCCAGGAGAAAGTCTTCCACAAAGAGCCCAGGGACTGCCACCACCTGGGCCCCCTAGGGCCACGTGCTACATCTGCATGCATTTGTCTGACTGTGGGACACAGTGCCATGGACCGGGCCTAGGGGACCCCAAGGGCACTGACATCCCTCACACCACACTGCTCTCGTGGGGCCTGAGCCTGGAGCCCCTACCCAGGCAGCTGCAGAACCAGGATGGGATGCAGGGACCCTGGCAGTCTGTGCAGACCAGTGTCTTCACTCGCCCAGAGCTCCTGTTTCCGGTGGTCAGGGTGGGATAGATGGGCTGGGCCAGCAGTGGTTTCTGTCCTGAGTGTCTCGGGACTGCCCAGCTCCAGGCTCACTGCACAGCCCAACACTCTCTCTGGGCTCGCTCCCGCCCTGTCCCCACCTCCCAGCAGTGCAGGGAGGGGCCAGAGCGCCACAGGCCAGGTGCTCTCCACCTAGCCCCAGGGCCGCCTTCCCGCCGCCTTTGCATGTTTTTATGGTGCAATGAAAATATGATTTTAATTCCTCAGATTGTTCCATGTAACCTACAATTACCTCCGGCGACGTCTTGCACACTTTTGCTTGCGGCTCCAGATTGCGCAAGGACGTGGGAGGGAGAGGAGAGGGCGGGGGCTGTGCTAGGACCAGGCCGCCCCCTCTCCGCCTTACCCTCCACTCGGAAGTAGGGCAGAGTTTTCTCTCTCTCTCTCTCTCTCTCTCTCTCTCTCACACACACACACACACACACACACGCA